CTCGCAGTGAGCCGAGATAGTACCACTGTACTCCAGCCTGGGCGACAGAGCGAGACTCCATCTCAAAAAGAAAAAAGAAAAAAGAAAATACTTGTCTGTAACAATCCTGCCAGGGCCTTGGCTGTAAGGTCTGAAATACGCCTGATATAGGTTGTTAGAGCCACAGAGCATGTGTCTAACTGTAGAGGTGCACAGAAGCACACTGAGGACACGGAATCACAGACTGGAGTTGAAAGCACTTCAGAGGCTTCCTGGTCTAACGTTCTCATTGTGCTGGCACAGAGATCGAAGCCCAGAAACGTAAGGGGACTTGGTCAGCATCTCACAGGTAGCAGTCCAACTGGATCAGGCCTCAGATTTCCTGATTCTCAGTTCAGTTTCTTGACCCCATCTGGGTAATTATGCTTATTCAGAAGATATTAGTATTGTAAAATGATTACCCTTGAAATTAACCATTTGGGAGTCACCTTTCTTAGGTGGAATTGGACTAGTTATTTACTATGCCAATAATTTCTATGAATGATCACAAGGATTAATCATTATTTGGAGAACCAAGAAAGTTACCTGTTGTGACGTACAATATTCTTTTGTACCATTACTGTGCATGACTCTTCCCTTATGGCACTCAACACAGCAATTTGTTGTTGTCCTTGTTTTTAAGCTGACTGTCTTGCCTACCAGATAGCTCTATAGTTACAGAGACCATGCCTTTCTTCTCCCTTTATTGCCATAGTACCTGGTTCAATAATTATCAAATGAATGCATGAAATTCAGGAACTAAGAAGAAGGAGTGGTCCTTTCACCTAGGGCCTGGTGCAATTACAAGCAGATCCTGCCATCGCTGGGCAAAGACCAGGATTGGTTTTCTTGTCTGGTGAACGTCCCTCACTGTGGTTGTTTAAGAATCCGAAGAGCCGACAGCACTATACTGAATACTTTAAGCGCATGTACTCATTTCATCCTCTCAACCCTGTGAAGCACTACCCTGACAAGCCCTAAGTTACAAATGAGATACAGAGTCACAAAATTGAGGCAGGGCGTTCAGTAATTTCCCTTGGGCTCAAAACCTAAGCCAAGCCGCCAGGAACCAGATCATGTGCTTCTAACCCCTGGGCTATATTGCATTTGAGCCAACCACTGCTGCAGAGCTTATCCCTTTTGTGTTTTTTTTTTGACCTCTAAGCCAATTTGTATATTTGAAAACTTAGATACCACACCATGGTAAACATACTGACATTTCCCCAAACTGGACGTATACATGTTCATCTCTGCGTTTTCCCTCACCCTTCTGCTCCTAACCCTTCCTGTTGAACTCATCTTTCACCTCTCGGCTTCAAGTGCCAACTCTGAAAAAGCTCCCTGGCCTGGTTTCCTCTCAGCAGAATTCATCGCTCTGTTCTAGGTGCCCTTTGTTTAAACTTCAATTCTGGCACTCAGCACATCAAGCCTGGGATGAGTCACGAGGGTGCTTGTGGATCTCCCCAGCTACACAGAGAGCTCGGTGGGGCGGAGGCTGGTGGGAATTCGTATTATCTTCTTGGGCCTGCTGAGCACTCAGTAGGTGCTCAGGGTTTTCAGAAATGAGATTTTTTTTTTTTTTTTTTTTTAAGGCGTTCAGGGTTGCTGTCTGCTGGCAAGGTCTTTTTTGGGACGGCTCTGTGGGCTGCGATGGCCTCACCCCGCCCCTCTGCCCACTCCTGCCCCGGCGTGGCCTGCCGCCTGGCAGGGCTCTGCGGGCCGCGAGGGCCTCTAGTGCCCCGGCCCTGGCCTCGGCCCAGTTTCCCCAGCTACTAAATGCGGCCCGGAGCTACCGGGGGAACTGGAAAAACACTGGCAGGCGGCCCCACCCCCAGGCCCGGCGGGGCCGCGCGGCCGCCTCTCTGCGGCTTGGGCCTGCTGCTTGGGAGGCGCTGGGGCCCGGGGCGGGGGAAGCGGGGGCGGCGGCCTGCCTGTCAGCGGGAGCGGGCGCGGGCTCGTGTGTCAGCGGCTCCCGCCCCTCTCCCCGCCGCCGCCCGCCCGCCCGCCGGGCCTCCCGGCCTCCCGCCGCCGCCGCCGCCCGCTCCCCCCGCGGCCTGGCAGGCTGCCGGCTGCACAGGCGGGGGTTCGCGCCGTTCTCACGACCTCTCAGGTTGCCTGAGCTCATCTGGGAGCTATTCATTTCCTGCCAGAAAGCAGCCGGGCCTGCTAAGCAAACCACCTTGGCCGCAGGGCCGCCGGGGCTGGCCCGGCGTGGCCGCCCTGGCCCGCTCCCGCCCCGGCGGCGGGCCTCGGGCGGCCTCCCTGGAACCCCCGGGCCGGCCCGGCGGGCGCGCGGCGGGGGCAGCCTGTCCGCCCATCTGGTTGCACTTAGGGGCCGGGGAGGAAGCTAGGAGCGGGTTGTTACCGGCCAAGGGGTGTGGGAAAAGTTAATTGACTTTAATGACAGGTTTCCCGGGACGGTGGTGACGACCAGGGGGTCCAGCTAAACCTCTGGGTCCCCATTCCAGAAACGCGTGGGGTGGGATGGGGCGCGAGGAGGGGCGAGCCTCCGGAGTCGCGCTTCAGCGCTTGGAGAGGGCTCTCGTGTTGACCCAGGAGCACTCCCACCCGCTTCCAGTTCGGCGCCTTTCCCGCTCCGGATGCTGCCGGAGACGGCGGGGGGCCGGGGCCCCGGAAGGGCTCCATTGAGAGGCTAATGCGCGCGGCAGCCGAGGCCCGCGGCCCGCATCCGGACGCAGTTTGGAGCTGTGCCTTATCTCCCGGAGCGATCAGCACCGCCGGGGGCCGGCGAGAGGGGCTGCTGGTGTGCCCGAGGCCGTATAATTAGGCCAGGCCTGAGGGACCCCCAGGGAGGCAACATCATTGAAGTCGTTTTTGAAGTTTCGTCTCTCCCTCAGCTACTTACTCCAGAAACAGCCAAAGTGCAGGAGGGTACAGCGTCTTAGAAATAAGTCTATTCATCTTCCAGACTTGGAAATGACCCGGAGAAGGGAAATGACTTATCCAAGGTGACACAGTGACTTTGGTGGCATAGCTGGAGCGAGAACTGGGAAGTGCCCTTTCCGGTTTGGAGACTAGTGGGATTTCCACCCTCTCCCCTTATTGTAACAGAAAAAATTCTCATCGAATAGTCTAAACCCAGCTTTCGGGGGGGAAAACGTGCTGTTTTCAAATCACCAATTATAAAAACAAAACAAAACACAAATGTGTATTTTTCCTTTGATTTAGTCCCCCTCCCTAGGAAGATAGCTATGTACTCTCGGTGATATTAATAAAAATGCACTTTTAAAATTGTTCCCCTTCAACATGGGGACATTTAATTTTCAACTGGTGTTGAGATTTTTTTTTTCCTGTGAATTTTAAAGACATCAATGTAAAAGGAATTCCTTGTATAAAAATAAGGCACTGAGGTCTGATTATTTCTAGCAGGACAGTTAAGGGCTGCTAGTGGGGCCAGAGGACAGGTTTACCAAATGAAACACTGGTGCTTGAGTTGGGTGTCTTAATGGAACAATTGTTATTTTGTTTGTTTCAACAGGAGGGAAAACGTGGAAAAATGATAAAGAAGGGTGTGTGTGTGTTTCTTTGGCAGAAGGTGTGTTGGACACCTTTCCTATACACAAAATAAGGCAAAAAGGAGACAAATTCAAAAAGGTCTCTTTTGAATCTCTCCCTCTGGGGTGGAAGCTGGGTCCGAAGGTATCTTGAGTGGAAAACTGCTGTCTCCTGGATCATTCCCGTGATAGAGCCGCTCTCCACACTGGCCTGTGGGAAAGGCCAGAGCAGGGCGGGGGAGAGGTAAAGCTTTTGAAACAAGACAGAAAATCGTTGGCTTTATCTTTGTTAGGAAAGCTTCAAAGATTGATCTCTCCCGCCTCATCCTTCTCCTCCCAGAAGCCGGTCTAAGAAAAGGGGGGTGAGAGGAGGCTGGCGGGAGGGGCCGGGGCGGGGAGGAGGACTGGCCGGCGGTGGGGGAGGAGGGCGCGCCCGCCAGACCCACAGCGCGGCTGATGTGTCTGGTCTCGCAGGGCTCGTGGTTTTCATTTCCCCAACACCTGGATGCAGTCAAACACCTGGCCAAATCTGACAAAATCTGACAAGCCTTTGTGATGGGATTTGGAAGAAATTCCCTGCAGATCCTGGCACAGTTTAAAGCTGTCCGCTTTGAGTTAGGACTTGTTAAGGAGGGTTATGTGAGCTGAAACCCGAGACAACCCTTTCGCTTCTATCTGGAGCCCACATCTCGCCTGGAAATGGGGCATGACCAAGCGAAGGGGTCGCTTGCTGTTTGTATTAAAAGGGGAAGATGGCCTGTGTGCCTGCCAGCACAGCTCCCACATGCTTTCTCTATTAGAGCCAAGCACAGAAACTTATCAAAAACACATGTCTGGTGTTAATCATCTGGGCTCAGCCTCCACTTGGGAGTCTAACTGTCCCTTGGCAGAAGGAATCTGTTGACCTTTTCAGCTTGCTTGAAGAGGGTGCAGAGAGGCATTTCAAACTTTTGGGTGCCAGGGAACGTCTTATTTGAACCAAAGGATTGGCTAATTAATGAAGACCCCAACTCTTGAAGGAGGCGCAGCAGTTGGAAGTGTTTTTGCTTTGGATGTCGGTGAGCTACCCTAGGAGAGGAGAGCTGCAGGAACCACCCTTAACGTGCAATGGGCAATAGGATTGGATCCACTGACTTCGTGAATTTAGTCCTGTTCAGTCTTCCTCAGGAGGCGATAGAAGAACAAGGGCTACAGACTTACCCGACTGCAACTTAAAAACAAGTTTTTGGAAATCCTTTAAGAGACTGACCACAAGTTTATCAGGGAAGCCTTACCAGATGGCTGCTTGTAAAGTAAATGGAATTTAGTCTTTTTAGTTCACGGAGGATTGGTGAAAGGTTTGATGGATTTTTTAAAATGTTCTTTTAATAACAAAAGACTCAATTCTTGAATTGACCAATTACATGTAATTCAAATTCCACCAAGAGCCTTTTTACATATCCTGGAAGAATCAGTTCTAAGACATAAAAGCCTTTACTTTTTTCTTTTATTATATTTTCTCAAATAAACTTCCCCAAAGGAAGATATTTTAAGAGCATTTTCAAACATCTTTGGCATCACATAAAAAAGAAATCTCGTGTAAAAAACGAAATGTCATCTGAGCTTTTATACAAAGGCGCAATCCAATATGAACATATAAAATATATACAAATATAGTGCATGGTCAGTCACTTAATACAGCTCTCTCTACAAAAAGTAACTTTTTAGAAATTAAAAAAACACAAAGTAACCACTTAATCAAAAAGTCCTTTTCTCTCCCAGTATTCAAGTTCCTGTTTACAGTCCAGAGGGAAGAGAGGTCGGTTGGGGAGTTTAGGAGGAGGGGTGGCCTGAGCCCCCTCAGTTCCGCCACGGCCTCCACATGGAGTCCGCCGTAAGCGAGGGGCCGCTGGAAGGTGACACTGCGTTGGGGCCCACGGAGGTGCCGCTGTTGCTGGTGTAGACCGGGATGACAGGGCCGCTGTGCGCGAAGGCCCCGTTGGGAATGAGGAAAGCAAACTGGCCATCGGGAGCCGGTACCACCTGGAAGCCTCCAAACACCTTAGCTGCCTCTCCAGCCTGGCTGCCCAGCTTGCAGGGTGCGCCGCCGGGAGGGGGCGCCGCGCCCCCGGGGATGGGCACGAGCGGCGGCGGCGGCGCGAACGGCGCGTGCTGGGGGCCGCCGGGTCCTGGTGGGGGCGGCGGCGGCGCCTGCAAGGCGGGGTGCGGCTGCCCGGGGTAGGTCATGGCATTGATCTGGGTCATGCAGTTGGCCAGGTGGCCGAGCAGCCGAGTGCGCACCTCGGTATTAACGCCCTCGCACGTGGACAGGAAGCGGGTCACCTCGTTCATGCACTCGCTGAAGCCAGCGCGGTACTTCCCCAGCACGCTTGGGTCTGTGCTCAGCGCAGCTGCGGGCCAGAAGGAGACAGACGGGTCACCGAACGGCCCTGGCCCCGTGGCCACTGCCTCCGCCCTGGGAGGTCCCAGTGGCGCGCCTCCCTGACCCTGGGCCCGTAAAACTGCCTCCGGCAGGGAGGGTGGGATGGGTTTTAAAAAAAAACCAGCCACCTCTACACACTAGCGTGGCTACCAAAGCCGAGCCACTCCTTCCCGATTCCCTGTCGCTGCATTTAAACCTATCTCAGCCACAGATCTGTCACCCCCACCCCCGCGCGCGATGTGACCTTGGACAATGCCTCCCAATCCATCATCCAAGCCTCGTTTCCCCTTCTGCAACGGGAGGGAGTGCTAAACCAGTGACCCCCAGGCTCCACGCAGTTCCAAACCGCCACAGTCCTAAGTCCTTTCGCCCCTACCCGCCGCCCGCCACCCTCGCGGCTGCAACCTCTTTCCCTCCCTTTCCGGAACAGTAACAACTTGGAGTTGTGGCTATAAATAAGCCCCAGACCGTGGGAACGCGAGAGTGAGCCAAGGCAGTAAAATGTAGCTGAATGCCTCTCACAACCACGGGCGGAAGTCTGGAAGAAATCACCGTGAGGCGAGCGGGACGCCCGCACAGGGGGACGCGGCGAGCCGCCCTCACCCGTCATCTGCGCCCGCTGCAGGTTCCGGAGGTGCTTCACTGTCATTTCCAGAATGTCCGCCTTCTCCAGCTTGGAATGCCGCGAGCTCTGCATAGGAGGAGGCAAGAAAAGAAAGTGAACCCCGTGTCAGTTGCTTCAGAGTGCTGGGGGTCCCTTCTCCCGGCCACGGAGCGCAAGCATATCTCTGGACCCCAGAGAATAAGGCCGGGCCCTCCCGCCTAGGAGAACGCAGTACCGGCGAGTGCTAGACCCCGCAGGCGGGGCGTTTCACTCTTAGTAGCTGAGAAAGTGTTTGCTTTCTCAGTAAAAGAAAGAGCAACATTTCCCCACTTACATCTTTCTTAAGAGCATCCAAAATCAGTGTTTTCAGCTGGCTCAGACTTTCATTTATTCTTGCTCTTCGTCTTTTCTCCATGATAGGCTTTGATGACTGCAAATAAATAAAAAAAGAGTTCTGTGTTCCCATGGGATCTGCCATTTCATTCCGGGGTTTCAACACAGAAAGCAGCCCCCCCAACCCCTACCTAATCTTGAGGGGCTGCAGAGAGATACAGGTACCGCCCTTACCTTTCTGTGCTCAGATGCTGTCTTTGGTTTATCCGGTGTCGTGTTGACACTGGCTGGGGTAGCAGCCACCGGGGACGAGGAATTTTTCTCCATTATATCAGCTGGCATTTTCCTTTTTTTTTTTTTTTTTTTTTTTTTAAATCTCTAGAGAATTTTATTTTTGGAGTTCTTCACGAAAAAGAATTCTTTGTGTCTCTTTTACTTGAGACTTTCACAAAACTACTGAGCAAGTGCTGAAGGCTTATTATAATATTTTGTGGCTACTTGGTGATCAGTAGCGCTGTTCCAGGACCAAGGAGAGAGGTAGACGGGGGATTCCACTGTTATCAGCACCAGCTCCGGATCCTGTGTGATCCCCAGGCCCTGGCGGCCTCTATATATATCTGGGACTGCACGCGAACGGCTCGTGTGAAACTTCCCAAACTTTCTTTCCCACAGTAACTTTCAGCCAATGGGAGGAGGAGACACGCGGCACCGCTCGTGGACCGCGCCCCCCCATTGGCCGCCAGGCACAAGGTCTGGCGGCCAATGGCGCGCGCCTGAGCCCAGGGCACCGGAGGCTACAACGTCAATCAAAAGGATTTTAACCCTTTGCTACTCTCCCTCTGGGCTTTGGTTTAGAGGTGATCTTTTTTTTTCTTTCCGCTTTGGTTTTGGTCTTGTCCCTTTCTTTTGGAGCCAGGGTCTTTACCCTTTATGCCCTCTCTCATATGTAACAGAGCTGCTTTGACTGTAGTAAGTTCATTTGAAACACATTTTTTAAAGGTATAAAGGGGCAGAGAAAAACATTAGCAGTGGTTAAAAGGGGGCGAGGGGGGGACGGGACTCGTGTAAAGGTGTGAGTTACCGACATATCTAAAGTTCCCGCTCAGACTACACATTCAGGAGGGTGAAAGTAGATCATGCAGGAAAAGGGCCATTTTTTTTTTCCTTTTTCCATGCAGAAAAAGGAAAAATCGGCTTCTACCTTACAAACGCAGGTTTTTCGGAGTAAGGTAGTTCTTGAATCCCTTCCCCACCCCACCCCCACCCCGTCTTTCAGAAATTCCTCTTCTGGATTTGGGGCCTTAGACCCCGCGCTTCCCCAGGAAACAATCAGAATAATTTCCAACTGGGTGGAAGGAAATGGTATTTCAAATGAAAAAATGAACAAGGGGGGCTCTGAGGGAATGCCTCAGGGACTCGCGCCCGCCTTCACCACCCTTTCCCTTTTCATCCGTAGGCTTCAGGTTCTGCGGCGCGTTGAGGTGGCGGGCAAGGAAGCTGCCTCTGCCTCCTCGCCCCGCGGGCGGCCTCGGCCCCCGGCGCGCGCGGGCCCTTTAAGAGCTACACCAGCCGAGCTGCAGTTTGACATCAGCCGGCCGGCGTGGGCGCGCCTGGAGCCGGAGCACGTGCCAGGATGTTTTATTGCCGCCGCGGCTGCGGCCGGGCCGGGAGGATGTGTGTGTGCGTGCGCGCGCCCCGGGGGCAGGGAGGCGGGGGGCGGCGGCGGGCGGCGGAGAGCGGGGGCCGGTTCCTGGTCCCCGGGAGAAGCCAAGAAGGTAAATAGCAGCTGCTGTGCTCGAGCCTGGGAAAACTCCGCCCCCTGCGCCTGGCCCGGGCTCATTGGCGCGCGCTGCGTGTGGGGTGTGTGTGTGTGTCCGGGGCCCCCTCCTCCGGCCCCGCCGGGCCAGGAATCCGAAGGGGCGGCGGGCTGGGAGCCGAGCCCCGGCGCTTACCCTCTCTCCCCACCCCCGCCTCCCCAGGCCAAGGTCAGCTCTTCCGGGCGGGGAGCGCACACCCGGGTTGGAGAGTGGGGAATTCTTCCCCCGCCCGCCGCCCCACCCTCACTTTCGGGCTTGGGGTTTTCACTCGGCTGAAAGCCGCATTTGCACCAGCCCGGGGGCGAGGTGGGGGCCTCCGAGTTTGCTCCTCGCCCCCGCCCTCCCCCACGCGGGGCCCTGGGCGCCCGCCGCGGTCACGGGATGCCTGACCGCACTTAGGAAGCGGCCGGGTCAGCCTCCTGCCTCCGCTCGGCGGCTGTGGTTAAAGCGGCTTCGCGCCGCCCGCCCCTTCCCCGGGTCCCGGCGGCCGGGCCGCTCCCCCTCACTGCGCCCGGGAGGCCGCCGGCGGGCGGCCGGGAGGAGGCGGGCGGCGCGGGCGGCTGCGTGCTGCCTGCTGGCCGGGCCGCGCGCCGGGAGGAGTCGCCGCCGCCGCCGCCGGGTGCCACGTGGCGGGCGCCGGGCCGGGAGCGCCAGGGCTCTGGCGGCGGCCTCCCTGGGGGATTTGCCGAGCCGGGCGGGCGGCGCGCACTGCCTGGGCCGGCCGGCCGCCTCCTCCGCCTCCCTCCCGCCTGCCCAGGTCACCGGCCCCCGTGCCCCAACCCCCCCTGCGCCCTTCTCGCCGCCTGGGAGCTCGGCTCGCGGCTCCGGGCAGCCCGGGAGCCCAGCGTCTTGTTTGATGTGGCCTCCCGCCCCCTCAGCCCTTCCCGCGTCCCGGAGGCCTGAAGCACGGTTCTCAGACACTTCATTCCTTCCTGCCTCCCAGCTCCCTACTGAGATAATGTTGTTAATGGTTTCGCCAGATCTCGTCCCGGATGAGATTCAGTGGTTCCTGACTCTGGGTGACCCTTGGGCAAGCCCCCTTCTTTCTTTCATTGTGGAACACACGCGCAGTGTCAGACACTGTGTTAAACCCTGGGATTTCCACGATGAGAGATACAGTGGCAGCCTGCAAGAAGGTGACAGTAAACTGCAGGGACAGACAGACGCTGATTTTCTGATTGATGACTGAACGTTCCTTTATTTTTCCTTTATTTTCTGAGTTAGGTGGTGGCCTGAGAGATGAGGAGGACAGAAACAAAATATGAAACCACACTTGTATGGGTAACAGTATTGCTGGTCTACCTGGGTTTACAGCAGTCAGTAGGACCGTTATTGCCCTCTGGAAGCCAGCACTCTAGAGATACGTATGAGCGTGTACAGCTGACATCTACGGATGTCCCAGTAAATTCCTCTGGGGGGTCCTAGGTTCAAGAGAGGCGTGTGTCTGGATAGAGGTAAAATGCTATGGAGTTTCAGGAGAATTGAATTACTTTTAAGCTGGGCTACCTTGGAAAATTTCCTGGAGCGATCGGCCTGTGTACCTTGAAAAATAGGTAGGATTGGGGCATTGGGAATGTGCTGAGTCGTGGGCCGGAGAGGATGCAGGTACCCATGGCATGAAAGGCCAAGACCCTGGAACTTGAAGACTTTATTCAGAGAACATGGTCTGGAGCCTAGGGAATGTGAAGGACTAGAAGAGGTAGCTTGAGGCCATGTCATAAGCTCCTTAAACATCTTGCTAAAGGACTTTGGACCTTATCTTTAGACAATGGAGAGCCATGAAACATTCTTGAGCAAAGAAGAGGCATCAGGGTTTCCCTTTAGAAAGCTGGCTCTGGCAAAAGTGGGAGAGCAGATTGCAGGGTTTGGAAGCAGAAAGGGCAGTTATGCGGTTCAAGCTAGTGAAGAAGGTTCCTAGGAGGCAGGTGCAGACTGACTCCCAGAGGCATCTGTCTACATCAGCTTCTCTGGACATTGACTGCACACTCTTGGGACCTGAGTTCAACTCAAACCTGCCTACCCTTTAATGCAGTGTTCCCAACTCCCGACCAGGAACTCAGGAACTCAGATTTAGTTCCTGAGTCTTAACTAAGGAATCGTGGCTCTGACCGTATTAACCTAAGCCTCATTTCCACCTTCCAGGACAGTCCTCCAGTCTGCAACCAAACATTTACCTCATTGCAGGCTTGGTTTACTCACTGTTGCCCCTTGGGCTCCTCTGAGATTTTTTTTTTTTTAAATGTTTTCTTACGTCGCAGAGTGAACTGCCCTGTCATGTTCTGAAGAAATGGTGAACAATGCCTCCTTTGTTGACCTGCAACCTGGGGCCAATGGGGAAGGAATTTTCTTTCTTATTTTAAACAGATGGAAAAGTGGTGATGACAGAAAATTGTCTGTTGCTTTTGGAAGACGTGGGGTTTTCCTGTGTGGTTAAAATCCTCTCGGTGAAAGGTGGTGAGCCTGTGAAGTTACCCTCCTTTCTGCCATGGCCCCAATAAGCTTTGCAAGCTTCTTAAAATGCTTCTACTGAGTGTCTGACTTTTTAAAAACTTCCCAAATACACTGACCCAGATTCTTCCGAGGAACTAAACCCTTCCCAGGGAAGCATGTTAACCCTTCCCAGGTTCCCCCCAAATCTTTCAGAACCAGTGCCTGCTCTGCTAAGCTCTGCCATGACATTGACTGCCGTCTGCTGGTTGGCCTTCATTAACTATTGGGGTGTGCCACCCCCGCCCATTCTAAGAGACTTTTTCATCTGATTCTGTTCCCCACTATTTGGCGCCCTGAAAGTACATGGGGAATGGAATATGGTCAAGTTAGGGTCTCACTGCAGTGCCTAAAGCAGCCTCGTGGGCCAAATAGTTAACTCGTTTATTGCCACTTTGGGAGTGCTTGGACTGGGAGAATGGGCAAGTAACTCACACATTTTTCGATAGGGGGACAGAGGCTCAAGTAACAAAAAAAACTATGAATTTGTGTCTGGACCAAGAATAAATAAATAAAAATAAATTCCAGGAACTCTCTGGCTTTCCACTCTAACCATTCAAGAAGAGTTTCTTGCATGTGGGCTCATAGATGACTTTTCAGTTTCTAGGGAACTGAAAAGTTATCCTAGGCAGTGAAAACAGGACCCAACTTTGTCCTCTCCCCACCCCTTCTCAAATGGGACAGTAAGCTCCTCAACTCAGGAAGAAGCATCTGGATTTGGAAGAATGCTCTTAGATAGATATAAACAGCCTTTATTTTTCAGTCATCCTTTTCCCCCGACTCCCAAAGCAAAGAGAAACTGGAGCCCAGTTCGTCAGAGGAGATCACTTCTTTGATCCCACTGTGATACCAGCATCGTTCTGAATCGTTCTCACCGTGTCACGTGCAATAAATAGAACCAGGGGCTCCCGTGCTTGTCTCCACCCACACTGTCTCCCCACCCCGGCCCCTGGAAGGGTGATTTCTCTGTCTTACTGCATCACCTGTTTGCTTTCAAACCATAAAACAAATAACTGCATCTCTAGTGAAACTCCCCTTTGTGCCCTGGTATCAGAGTGGTTTGTGGGTTTGGTTTAAAGCTACAGAAAGGAGAGAGCAAGAGAAGAAGAAAAAAAGTATTTTGCCTGAGGATTTGAAGCTTTTTTCCCCCTTTTCCTCCGCATGACTGACTTTCTCACACTCAGATTCACTCCAGCCTGCCAGAGACGTGGTAGCTGCCTTGCCAAGAGCTATCCTGGGAGGGCTATTGAAAGAACTTTGAGTAAGTACACACAGGGCGGATTTTCTCCTCCCCTCGGTACCTGCTCCGCACCTGTACAGGGAGCAGTCCCACACATATCACCTGATCACAGCCCTTTCAGGGACCGTGAGAAAAATAAAGCCCAGGGTAGAAAGACATGTTTGTTGTCTCTCCAGGGCTGCAGCCAGCTTCCAGCAGTCCGAGTGCCCAGAAACAGCACATTCCAGGCTGGTTGTGCTCGCATGTTTGCTGGGGCGCGTGCCAGATGGGGGTGCTGGGAAGGGGGGGCAAGTAG